TAAAAATATCCTGCCAGGATTTTTTCAGCCAACCCACTCCCAAAATATCTACTAACAGGTTAAATTTCATAGAAAAAAGATTTCATCTATTAAACAGATGGATGAAGGTCGTCTCTGTGTTGGATCTTAGACTAGTAAGTTGCCTTTTCTGCCTTTTCTACAGAAAGGTGAATGCGGCTAGAAAATTTAAACAAAACATTAAAACGTACCCGCATACACCATATATGAATTTAAAAGTTAAGAGCCAGTTTATTCCAACTACTTTTTTTCGAACAACTCCAAGTCCGGTTTTGGAAGACGTCGAATAATCGCACCCCCTTGTACTAGGTATAGAATATTTTATGCATTTTGCCTGACTTTTGTGTTTTTTCTTGACATTATTTATATAAAACTGGGTAAAAACCATTGAAGCGGGGCTCGTCATAACGAATGCGTTTTTGATTTAACATTGAAATGTGTATAAAAAAATTGTACAAGCCCCTTATCAGTAGACTTTAATAAGTTTCGTCTTATATTATTAACTAATTCCATGAATAAATCTGACTGCAGTTAAACAAAGTAGCACTCTGTAGATATAAATGCAAATTTTTATCGCACAGCGGTTGAATGTTTGAAGGTTTTTTTTTTTGTTGATAGGAATTGCATTTGTATTATGAGGTCAGATTGTATGTAGTATGCACAATTGCATATCAAATTTAAAAATTATTTATTTGTCACACAAAACATTTTAAAGCTTAGAGCACAGGCCGCATGACCTTGACCAGAGTGAAGATAGGCAAGATCATCAAGCCTTAACTATTTCCAGGCCATAACTTTATAGTTCCAAATTTACTGTTGGGATTTACTCAAAGAACAAAGAATAAATTGTTTGGAAAAAACTAAGAAATATGCCAATTTTAAGCCATATACTGGTAGCTATATGCAATAATAAAAAATCAAAATGAGGAACATAAGACACTGCATTTCGACCTCTGAGTGGAAGATCGACCTACCTCGGCAGCCAGTTCGCAAACGCCCTGTTTCAGAAAACTTTTCAAGAACGCTCTATTTCCGAATTTTATTGAAAAACACCGTATCTCAGAATTCGGTGCAAAAAAAGACCTATAGGGAGGGCGGTCTTCAATCAAAATCTAAAATAGGGCGTTCTTGAAAAGTTGTCTGAAAAAAGGCGTTTTCGAGCTGGCTGCCGAGACTGAGAAACTTCAAATCAAATGTTTTAAACTAAATTTTGCAGAAAGTGTCGCTACTCGGTATTTAATGTAGTTTGGTCGATCTTCACTTCCATCACAATATTTAGCAATTCAGTGCTGATAAGATTATTTTCATTTGAGCTGACTGACAACATTGGGACATTTTGTGATTCAATTGAATTTGACACTAAGATCAGTTCGTATCAACAGAAACAACATTAAAATAACTAAAAGGTAGACAAAACTAAGTACAAAAAATTATGATTTTGAGCTAGTTGTGCAACTTTAATTATCAACAACTTAATTAAAGTTGAAAAGAATTCATATCAGCATGCCACTGCTACCAGCGTGTACCTTCGCATCTTTAACTCTAACAGCAATTACTTACATTGCTGCACAAGATCAAAATGCCGAACAGCTGTTTGGCGACATTTACTATGAGATTGGAAGTTTTTCCTTGCGTTATAGCGATCCGAATGGTCGCGGTAATAAGTGTCAGCGGGAAGTGCCGTAAGTTGTTAAAGTTACTTCAAACACAAAAACTCTGGACTAATCTCCTCCACCACACAGCGCCCGCTACTTTCAAACCTCACCTGCTGCCCCCATACGCGGCAATGGCTCAACAATTCACTGGCAACGCATCGAAGTCTGCTGCGAAGGTTATATGCGATCACGCTTCGATCGCGATCAGTGCATCCCAGACTGCTCCGGAGTCTCACCAAACAATTGTCGCAATGGCCATTGCCATGCGCCCAATCAGTGCGTATGCTTTGCCGAGTTTGTGCGCAACGACCGTGGCGAGTGCGTACACACCTGCCCAATTGCCTGTGAGCATGGACGATGCTACTTAAATGGCACATGTCAATGCGATCCGGGCTACACATTGGATTTGGAGACGCGAAAATTTTGTCGCGCCCAGTGTCCGCAGGGTTGTGGCACGCATCAACAGTGCGTGGCGCCGGGGAAGTGCGCTTGTACGGCGGGTTATAAAATGACAACAGATCTGGGTTGCCAGCCAGTTTGTATACCCGATTGTGGGCATGGCAAGTGCGTGGGTCCGAATAAGTGTGAATGCTTTAATGGATATATTAAGCGTCCATTGCGGAACGTTTGCGAAGCTGAGTGCTATATGTAAGTGATTGCCGATTTTGTATTTAGTGACAGGAGTTAGTTAGTATTTCATGTGTGTTTAGAAGCTGCGAAAATGGTTTCTGTGAATCGCGTAATAATTGTCAGTGCCGTAATGGCTACAAATACGACATGGATACTACCAGCTGCCTGCCTGATTGCGGCGAGAATTGTCGTGATGGTATTTGCGTGGGACCTGGAATATGCAAGTGCTTTGAAGGATATGAATATAGTGAAGTTAATTGTGAGCCAATATGTGACAGGTTGGTGAAATTAATGTAGTTAAAACAGTTCATAGAGTAACTAGAGTTTCAGCAATACACTTTAGACATTGTGTCGGATATAGGTGATCTGAGAAATGTGTTCTATCCCAAACTCGAATATTCTAAGGTTTACGCGTATGGTAATTTCTTGCGTTCTTTCGAAAGTCTTGAAGCACTTAATTTCTCTGAAATAGTAAAAGTTGCCATACGTTTTTCACTAGGTAGATGACTTGGCCGGCGCTAAACACTTTTGTTAAATATTTTTGCATACCGGAAATAAATCTCTAATCCTCATTGCCCGAAATGGGTTCAGTCTTAGGAATGGTCAAAACTCATTGATTGACCTATAATTAGTACTTAAAGGTCGACATTAGGAGGCTAAACGAATCAATACCTGTATAGCTCATGGAAATAGCTCATTAAATGACCGTCTAGATATCCGGGAGAATGGCTACACGCTTGCCGTGATGTAAACCACTACATTCTAAAAGATAGCAGCCTTCAGCTATAGTGAATACACATGCAAAATCGGGCAGATGGATTGATTGTCTTAATTGCAAGAATTCGGCGAAGACGGCTACTCCAACTTTGCGTTCCATTTTGGAGTCAACGGCATACAGATGAAGTATCCATGCACAGATATCAAGTTACCCCGTCCCAGTCGTCTCTCGACAGAAGAATAACCCCGAAAGGTCTCTGAAATTCTATTTTAGGTCGTACGTAATCGACAGACCTTCTCATCTTGCGTGGCAATCGAGAAATTATACTGCTCATTATTTCTTTTCATACACCGAGTCTTATAGCAGATGTTGCGGTATACATTATGTGAAGTTGTAAAGGTAATAGGTTTAGGGAAGTTATAAGTGCCCCTGTAGTTCCCATGCATGCGGCTCTCTGAAGACTACCTAGTTTTATTTTATTACACTGGTTCCTTAGGTCTGTCCACCATTCCAGGGAACCATTGCATAAGATCAGACGTACAACCGCTGTATAGATCCAGAGTAAAACCTTTCTATAAATACAGTATGTCGTCCTAAAAATCCACTTAAATGAGTCATCTTCTCCAATATTTATGTTTTAACTCAGCTTAGGACCCCGTATAACTGCCAGAAACTTCGCCTGCGAGAGACGTTATTCCCAGCCCCAAATGATATATTTTTTTCTCTGTGTGCACCCTAATACCACATTGCCTATCTATATCTCTAGTCGTGTTTAAGCAGTACTAAGTTGATGGTGGTCAGCCCTTAAATAAGAGAGATCACTCCACCTTGAGGACTGTCCCTACTAACATTCCTCATTGGTGAGAAGTTGACTAGATCAGTTTATTTCAGGGACTGTTGAATGGCTTCTACCCGAACATACGCTTCTATACCGAGAAGGCTGACAGAGTATACTGCATAAATTCAAGCGATCTATCAACTCTTTTAACGGCTTCATGAGCGCCGCATCCGCCGATCATCTTCGCAAATATCCTCGCGGTCCTCGAAAAAAATGGAAGTTAAGACGATTAGGCGTAAGTCATTAGCGTATACGTATGGAACTACTTTTACCCCGCTTTTCTGTTAAGAGTCTTAAAAAGAACTTTTAACCAAAAACGCACCCTAAGGTTTACAACAAAGCGAAACTGCTGGTGTTCATACTGAACGAAGAGAAGCAGAGCTTTTCTCATGGACTCGGCGGCAAAACTAGCACATATAGTCACTATAAATCTTTAAAGAAGTTTCCATCGCTAATATTGGTCAAATTCTCCACACAATACTAGCAAGCGTTCAAGATTCATTTCATACCGTTCACATTTTTATACAAGCCATACGGCTTAGATTTAAAGCTCACAGTTAAAACGGCCCAAGATAGCCATTAAGTGACTTAACATTTTGGAGATTACTTACCAGAAAATTTATGACCGAGTCAACCCTTGGTATAAGCTAATTGTATGTTAACCAAGACTAGGTTGTATTGATATTACTGATCCGGGGCTTTTATTTTGAAGAGTTAAATAAATATTTTTTGGTTAAAGAGGCAAATCAATGATAAAAAGCAATGTTTCTGTATTGCTTACAAATGCCGCCTACGAACTCGATTTGATCTTCGTTTTTTAAACCTTCCCCATTTTCGACCCTGTTCGGAACTTCATGATCCAACTCTATAACAATTTGTAATATAAGTTTTTTGTAGGGATTGCGGCTACCATGGCAGTTGCATGGAACCGGGCGCATGCGGTTGCAAGCTAACTAAGCAGCTCTGTATATCAGGACTCTGTGATCGCAGCGGACGTTGTATTTGTCCAATTCGAATGTCGCATTTCATCGATAGATGTGTCGAAGCAGCGCAACTAAATGAGCTGATGACTGGTTACGAGCAAAGAGAACATTTCAATCGACAGTTGAGACGTGAATTTGAAATACTTATAGGCAGTAAATTTCAATTTATGCAACAGGGAAAATAAAAAAATATTATAATTAATAGTTTAATAACATACAAATCAAACGACTTTTTAAGGTAAACATTTCGTAAATAAAACTTTTAAAACAATCCATGCAAACAATTTAAACAGCGGCACATGTTTGACGTCCCTTGATGCCAGACTTGCGGAAACCAGGCTTACAGACGCAAAAGTTTGGCGAAGTACAATAGCCATTGGGACAGCCTTGTGGACAATGCGGCTGGCAAACACTCTTCTGTATTGGATCCAGTACGTAACCAGGATTGCAAGTGCAGCTATTTGCACCATCGCAAACGCCATTCAGGCAAGGTTGATCACAGTGTGGCACACATTTGGTGCCGGTGCGGTCCAGCTCGAACCCCTTGGAGCATTCACAGACGTCAGGAGCCACGCAACGGCCCTTATCGCAGCCACTGTTGCAGATAGAGAAAAATATATATGTAGTAAATGTGGAAAGAAGCTTTGAACTTCCAACTCGCTTGGAAATACTCACAGTGTACATACGGGTTCACAAATGCCATTCACCTTCAGGTAACCCTTATTGCAGGTACACAAGCCGGGTGCCGTACAGCGACCATTCTCACAGTTGTCACATTTGGGTTCACACACACCACCAGCTGTCAGCCGATAGCCATCGTAGCAATCACACTTATTGGGCGCCACACACTTGCCATATTCGCAAGGTGTATCACAGTGGGGCACACAATATTGCCGAGTGTTTGGTTCTAGTGTGTAGCCAGTTTTGCATTGGCATTGATTTTGTGCGTCGCATACGCCATTGCCGCAACCGATGGGGCAGGTAGAAATGCATTTGTCCTCGTGATTGCGTACATGACCAGGAATGCAGACGCAAGTGTTGGGCGCAGTGCAAATGCCATTCGGGCAGTCGTCGAGGCAGATGGGATCGCAGCGCGTGTAGACGTGTGGATTGCGTACGTAGCCTTCGCAGCAAATCTGCACCTTACTTTTGTCGGCGCTGGTGCCATTACCAGCTGGTATCACTGACTTGTCACGAACAAGCGATGCGGTGCTAAAAGCAAAGATGGAGGGAAAGATTATTAATATTTATTTCAATATTGTAGGGTTTAAAATTTTTTCAATTCCTAATCAATTAAGAGGAATCACACGGTCTCTGGTCTGGTAAATTGGGAGATTAAGTGTAACATTTCTGTAGCTGTTTGGATTTGTCAACCTTATATTAATTGTAATCAAACATTATTTAATTTAGAATAACTTTCTTTTGTCACTTTTAAACGGTTTGAGTGAGTTATTTATTATTTAAAGAATAACAGAGCAAATCGTGTCGAGTAAATTCACCTTTTCCCTAGCTGGCGCAGGGCCAACTGTCTTTCAACCCACCATAGTCATTCAAAAGACAGAAATCAATTCAGGCAACTATCTTGAAAGCTCTTTAATATCTTTCGAAAGATTATTTGAAAGATCTGCTAACGAGGAGGTCTTAGCGTTATGCTATTGGCCTTTTAGCAACAAGCTTTTAAAAATTAAATGAAATTAAAAATTATATATATGTATATACATTTTTCTTTTTAAAACAATAAAACCTAATAACTAAAAAAAAATAAACAAAAACATTTTAAAATAAAGATAAAGTAAATAAAAATAGTTTAAAAAATTGAATGCAATTAAAAAAAAATTGTTTTCTCTCTAAAACAAAATTAAAAATTAAGTTGAAAAAAAAAATCAAAAAAGAAAATAATACTTAAAAGTTATGAAAATATTTTTTTATTCTTAAAAGGCAATCTAAAAATTAAAATAAAATAAAATTAAAAATGATTAGTTTTTTGATTTTGGCCGTTTTATTATAATTTATTCGTTAATTTTGAGCTCCAGGCCGGTTATTAAATAAAACATAGATTTTGGTAGTTTTATTTATTACATTTATTGCTGTCGATATTTCGCCTTCAATCTGAAAGCATCTTCAGGAATTATTGAGTTTTTCCAATCGAAACTACCAAAATCTATGTTTTATTTAATAACCGGCCTGGAGCTCAAAATTAACGTATAAAATTAAAAAAATAAAATAAGATCCTAAAAATTAGATGAAATATAAAAATATGTTGTCTTTATAAAAAACTAAAATCCAAAAATTAAAAGAAAGAAAAATAAATAAAAAAAATTTCCAACAGTGAATAAATATTTTAAAAATGTTTTTCTTATTTTAACAATAAAGTCTAAAAATTACAAGAACATGAAACTAAAAAAATGTATTTGAAAAAGCAAAAAAATAAAATTAATTCTTAAAATTAAATGAAATAAAAAAAAACTTCTTTTTAAAAGAACATCTAAAAATTAATGGAAAAATAAAGAATAAAAGAAAATATACATAAAAATAAGTTTGTAAAAATTAAACGAAATCAAAAAATACATATTTATATATAAATCCGAAATAGCTATCACTTCTTCCATTTTTTCCGACAATAGTTTTCCATTAAAAACGGCCTCAAGCTCAATAAAAATTGTCGAATATAAATGTTATAAGGCTTATGGCCTTAAAACAAAAATTAAATAAAAAAAAATTATCAAATATTAATTAAGCAGCAGCGAAGGGAAAGCAGAACAGCTTGCCAGAGGGGGTACTTCCATTCCACTTTCAAGTAGTGCCACGGTAAATTAATCTAAATAACTTTTTTTAAATTATGAATTTGCCATATGTAAATTTTTGAACGGGAGTAAAAATACCTACATATGTTGCAAACTGAGGGTTAACTGTAAAATGATAAATTGAAAAAACTTGTATTAATGACGTCGTGACTTGTTTGCATAACAGAATTTTATATTTCTCTCTAACAAGCGATGCTTAGAACATTCATCTTATTTGTAAATACCGAATTGAATAATCAGTTTCATTGAGATGAATAAAAACAAAATATAAAAATGTTTGAAAAACCACTACAAGTAAAACAAGTGCGTATTTCCTACACCTAATTTTAATCGCTTGCACAAACAACTGTCTTCATTTTTTTTTTGTAAATAATTATCCTTGATCACTGAATGTAGAAGGAAAGCTAAAGAGAAAAGAAAACAACAAAAATATCAACAATACTATCAACACTTTTTCGGTTGAGTTATCAATACAATGAGGATGTCGGGCCAAAAGTTCAATATTACTTAAGAACTCATCAAAATAACATCTGAGCTTATATTGATTGGAAATACACACATATTTATTAGATGGGAATAGAATAGAATAAGAAAGAGATGTGGGTTTTCCTTATTAAATTAATTTGGAACAAAATGATCGTTGTTGCCCTAAAAATTCAGATGGCGACTTAAAAAAAGATGTATTGCGAAGCAGTCGATAAATTTCACTCTGAGTTATATGTTTGTATGTATATAGTTAAATCGTGGCAAAATTTAATATTTATTTAATTTTTGTTTTGCACAATTTATTGGGCTTGAGACTACTGTTTAAGCAGTACTCTTCACAAACAGCGACAGATTTTACCAAAAAAAACAGTAACTCACTATTGCACTAACTAACTAGTTTATTTTTAGAAATTTTAACACAGGTAATTCATCTACCTCCTTTTGCAATGAAAGGACTTTAGGCTGATGGCAGAGTCGTTGTATACTTCTCCCAAAATTAATAAAATTCACAATATATACGGCTTTTCATTAGTTTCTTGGACCTCAGAACTGTACTTTAGGAGCACCATGGCACACCCCATACCACGCGCTAAATTATAGATCTATTGAAGGAAAATTTAAAACAGATTTCAAACTAGCAACCCAAACCTCGCCAATAGACTTATTAAAGCTACATATTATCCATTTTCTTTTAAGCAAAAGTAACTTTCAAAATATTTCTCAAACACTTACGGCACTTCGGCGTAGCAGATGCCAGAGGCCATTTGTGAACGCGTCTTGTTGATGAACTCAGCAGTGGCATCCAAAAATTGTGGTACACGCAAGGGTACACGCTGACGGGCAATTCCGCCGCTGCTAAAACTGTCACCACTACTGTAACTGCCACCACTATTAAAACTTCCATCACTGCTGTAACTGCCACCACTATTAAAACTTCCATCACTGCTGTAACTCCCACCACTGCTATAACTGCCACCACTGCTGAAATCGCTGCTGCTGCCGCCAGCGCCATAGTAGTGATACTCCTCACCGGCAGCCAAGTGGCTTCCGCCTGCCAAATGCGCGGATTCATTTCGATCGATGGTGTTTACACTAACCACACCCACATTGCCGCCCTGATAGTTGTCCGCTGGCACAAAGGTGCGATTGTATTGTGCAGTGTAATTGTTTTCATTGTAAATTAAATTACCCGAACTTGGTGCGGCTGGGTAGTGCGTTTTAATGCCGGATGTTTTAATTTGCGCATGCGCACCACCTGCTGTCAGCAGCAGTAGTGCGCTTAGAAATGGCATGAGCGAATGCATTTGAAATGCAAATTAATTCGATGAGATCACTTTGTATGTTTTAGAATTTGAATGTGAAAATAAGACACAACCGTTGCTGGCAAAAGCTACGCTTTAACTGAGCTGCAAGTTGCCGCAAAATTATTTGAGTAGTGCAGAAATAATAAAATCGCTTGTTTGAAAAGATTTACTTCGGTTTGTATTCATGAATGTATGTACACTTGTGGCCAGCTGATTAAGTTAAGTGACTCTTTGAAAAGTTTTAGCTATTTTTATTTTATTTATTTAATGTTTATAATTTTTTTTAAAACTTTTTATTCAGAAATTTTAGAAAAATTTTAGGTATGTATGCAGTTTTATAGCCCAAATTTTAAGACGCTAGAAAATCACATTGATTTTTAAAATTTTTTGATTTTTGCTGACCGTGTTGTGCAAAGTATCTCTTACCATACTTAAAATTGTTCTAAATATTCTGAATGTGGATTTATATGGTGCTGATTATGTAATATGCTAGACTTTTTTTAAGAAAATATAAACATCAATAAAGAAAAGAAAAATAGTCGAAACTGGTTGAAATATCACTTAACTTAATCAGCTGACCACGAGGGTATATACATATCGAGCCCTAACCGCCAAAATAACGTAAGCGACATTTTATTCAAAATTTTCTTTTTGATGCAGAAATATTTCTAATGCATCTAGAAGCCCTTCTGCATCAAAAAGAAAATTTTGAAAAAAATGTGGCTTACGTTATTTTGACGGTTAGGGCTCGATACATATACACATATACAAGCTTACAAGTTAAGCTGTGATTTTAGCGTGCACATAAACAGAGATTAATAAAATTCTACTTATTCTTTCGTTATTGTTGTCATATGTGCACATAAAAAAAAACATTAAGAGAATGAGTTAATTAATGCGATTATAGTTTTGCATTTGAGAAAAAAAATATTGATATCTACTTTTAAGCTTCAATAACTTTAAAACGGCTAGGGAAAGTGTTTAAAAGTAAAATAAAAGGCAGCGATAACTATCGATAAAAATGACGATAGCGATAATGAAAAGAATATCGATAGATATATCGAAATGATATCGACTAAGGCAATAATTTTAGTACATATTTAAAGTTATATAGTGATTATTACTGTAAATTGGTAAATTTATTGAAAAATGTATCGATAAATATGCATTCTTGCCATGAATATATAAACTTTTATAATTTTTCAAAAAAATTTATAAGTGCACATAGGTACATATCATCTCCTGAAATGCAAAAAGACGTAACAAAGATCGTCGGTGAAATGCAAAAATTCATAACTAAAATAAGTTAATTTTAAAAATAAATATTTTTAAAGCAAACTTTCTAAATACGAACGAAATCGGACCATAAATACCAGTTTACCAAATATATCGACCCGTGCGCCACCTATAGGAAACATTTTTATTGCAGTTCTTCCTTTTAATATACATTTTAAATATGAACTCATTCATACCTTTCATTATTTTTAATACACACACATGTACGTATATGAATGTTATGAAGCTGTAAATCTCTCGCGAGTGATTTGTGTTTTGATTTTTTTTTATTTACTTCGAAGAATTATTGATAACGTCATTTTTGAAATGAGCTTCAACACCGGTCTTGTCGTGTACAAATACATATGTACATACATACTTACATATCCAACGATTTTGTTTACACATTTAGCCTTTGTGCGAACCTCGTGTTGTTGTGCTGTTTCTTTTTTATACCCGAGCGCACTTGTGCACAAGGGTATTATAACTTTGTTCACATAACGGTTGTTTGTAACAGGCAAAACGAATCGAGATAGATATAGACAAATGTATACATAAATGATCAGAATGAAAAGAGAAATCGATTAAGCGGTGACTGTCTGTCCGTCCGTCCGTCCGTCCGTCCGTCCGTCCGTCCGTCCGTCCGTCTGTGCACACGATAACTCGAGTAAAAATTGAGATATCTTAACGAAACTTGGTACGTGAACTTCTTTTG